GCGAAGGGAGAGTCCTCACAACTGACTGTGCCCAGAACCCTTTGTGTCCATCCAGAGGATCTTATTTTCTTGTGTTGGCTCTCTGTGGGACATCTTGAGAGTGGGGAGGATTGTCTTACATACAAGGAGTTTTGTGTATAGAATGGTTTTGAGGAGGTTGCAATTAATGCTCTTTGCTGGTTATCCATACCCATTTATCTACTTTTCCTTCTCTTGTGGGCTGAATGTGGGTGCATGTCATTCGGTCAAGGCATCTGGAATCTTTCATGCTTACTGTGCCTCATCCAGGACAGCGTGTATTTGCTTGGCATATCTCATCACTGCATCTCCTCTTTTCCAGTCGTCACGTTTGCCATCCTCGTGGCAGTGTGCTTGGCAGTATCAATTCACCTATAGATGTTCAGAGTTATTCAGCCAGACTTTTAAAAGACAGGGAGTTTTATCTTCCCAGCTCAAGGACATCTTCTCCCATTGTAACAATCCATGGGTTTCTTACCAGTGGACTCCTGCGTGGGTATTTCTTTCCACAATACTGGCTGGGCCACACTGGGATTCTGGGGCAGGTTGCCACAACTTACAGTGGCCACCTCTAGTCTGGCAGATCCTGTTCCTAAATTGGAGGTTCACAAGCAACTGGTTCAACTGATTTGTCAAAGCTGATGCAGTCTTCTCCTTCCTTGGTGCGCTAGTACTTACATTGATCTGATCTTGTTCTGAACTGTTTCTGGATGATGGCTGGCTAAAAACTACTTTTTGGTAGGTGGGTGGAGAGCACGGTAGCCTTCTGCTGGTATAGCTCCCTGCATCGTCTCGCCGTGGTATGGGACAAGTGCGAGCGCCAATGCAAAAGAGAAGTTGGGAACCAACAGCTGAAAGTGGAGCTGGGGGAAAGGATGTGGCTGCAGTTGCATCTTGAGCAGATCTAGCAGGCTGCCAGTGGAAGGGGGGAGAGCCGCTCCCCCTTCCAACTCCCTGCTGCTTGCCTTATGTTAGTTTTGGAGTTTGCTGGACCACTTCTTGAGGCGATTCAACTCATTAACCCAGTCAAACATTTCACTGACGTAATGATTTGAATCAGCTTGGGGAGGGGCCCTTAACTAAGTGAGGGGGTAGAACAGCATTGCTGGGGGTTGGGAATAAGAAAAAAGGGTTCAGGGAAAATGAGACAATGCTAATTGCTTTAACCAGGCTAAATTCCACGTCAGTGAAAGAGAATGGGCATGTTGAAGGTAACACTGACCTCCTGGCACCCAGAGGTGTCGTGGATCATTGAAAGTGGAAAGGGAGCAAGCAGGAACTTGTGGAAGAGGCCTCTGGACTAAAGAAAAACAGGACAAATTCTGACAGCTTAAAGTAGTCACTTAAAAAGACATTGAAAAACATTTTTAGCTGGTAAAGTGATCTTTTTATGTTGGTTCATCACTTTGCATCCTGTGGGCCACAGCATTTTTAAGCCAATATCAGATGCTCACAAATCAGATGTACAAAGCAAGACTTAAGTAAACAAGTGTTAGGACTTAAGTATCTTGGGGATTAACAACTTTTAGTGTGCTAGGGAGAGAGACAAGAGCTGTATCCAAGAGAAATATTTGGTACAAGAACTGAGGTTTGATGGTGAGGAGAAGGATGCTGGTGTAGAATTCTAAAGGTAATGGCAAGATTTTACTATAGAATGTGGTAAGCTTAGGGAAGGTGTCATGTGAATATCAGAGTTAAGAAGCAGTTAGGCGCAGTGACCCACTATTGGCATGAGTTTCTTATTATTTAAATTATTTTTGTTGCATTTCAAATGTGTTAAACTTTAGTTTTTGTAACTTTTATGTTCTCGAAGCAAATGTTTGTTTTTGCTGGTGGACACAGAAAAGCTTATTTTATAAGCATAGCTTTTACTCTGTATTGGGTACTTTAATTAGAAGAATAAACTACCTGTAGACCTCTTGGGATACAGGACATGGTAATGTTCACTACTGTTTCAGTTATTAATTTCTGATGAATGTTTTTTCTTTTACTTTTAAAAATGTATACTTCTCTTCAATGCATTATTGCTTGTTGCAGTTAAAATACATATTTTTATGATGCCTGTAGAAAGGAAAATAGAAACATATATAAAGAGTACAGCTTTGACTACTTAAATAATCTGAGTTGTATCTCTTTGCCCTATTATAACTTACACTGCAAAATAGTTGCCTAGCTTTGAAAGGAGTTTCTCATGGACTTTTTCCCTTAGGCTATTAGTATCGTTCATAACTGCATTATTCAAGAAAGCCATCTTTTCAGTGTCCTGTGCTTCTTTTAAAGTGAGTTATATGGGGCAGGATGGGATCTTCTGCCACAATTTTCCTTTTAGCATTGCTGTTTGAGTCAAGCAAATGGCAAAGATGATACTAGGTACTAATGCTGCCAGCTTCAGTAATTGGGTTTTATATGATATTGAAGCCTTCGTGTTTTCTGGGTAGGGTTGGAGGGGGTGGGGGAACAAACCTGGTTTTTATTATTTTGGTGATGCAAGCTTCATTCCCGAATGTTGCAACAAGTTGGAAAGCCTAATGTCCCAATCTGCCAGCCCTGCAGAACGTGTTACAAGTTGCGGCTTTGAATCGATCTGCATGAAACTACACATCCTAAGTGTAGCTGTGTTTCTTCTGAGCTGTCATTCAAATAACTTCTATCATTCATGAAAAGGACGTTTTCTCCAGTCCTTTCTCAGCCAGATCTGAGCTCCAGCAAGGAGTGAATAACCTACGCAATGCGGTTGTGTTAGGCTCAGCAGTGCCTTCAGGCCTCGGTGATTACACTTGACATGCCTGGTGTTCCAATTCAGTGCATGCTGCGTGCATGGGTACTCTGCTCCGTGTTGCACATAATAATGGAACCTGTACTCATTTGTGCGTGGATTTACCTTTTTTCAAATGCTGGGCATGCTGTCTTATTAGAGAGAGCAGTTGGCTGCATGCTTTCCTATGGTGCACTAGATGACATTGAGCTGACTATTAACTAGATTTTTCAGGTTACTTTAAAAAGTAGGGGGGGTTTATTGCATGTCTGGTTTTTTACTGATTTCAGTTTATTGAATACTTTTTTTCTGAAAAATGCAGTCATTATAAGCAACCTGCACTTCAAGAAACTCTACTGTAATTAATTTTAAATCTTTTAGGAGGTGGGAAATTATGCAAGGAAGGGAAGGAGATAGCAAAGTAAGGTAATAAACCTACTTAATGTAAGGATTCTGCTTTCGAATTTACAGAAGTCTACCCCTTCTCCATGGAAAGATAATCTCTAAACTGAATGTTTTGCTGCACAATAAAAAAATCACTTTCTGGAAGGTAGAATACGAATTTATCATTATTAAAAACAACAAAGCTTCCCCCTTCCCCTCATCTCAGTAATTTTCTATTTAAAGATTGTCATAAATCAATTTATATTCAGTGTTTCTAAAATTAGGATGACAGCCTAAACAATTTCTCTCTCTCTCTTTTTTTTTTTTTGTTTTTTAAGAAAATAAAAAGCTTCCAAACATATATAGTAGAACTTGTTCATTTGGAGGTAGATTAAGGAACTTCTTAGTTCCTTCAGCTTCTCACAATACACATGTGGCAGTGTCTGTGATAAACAGTTTTGTGGTAATGAGGGGAGTAGTCTGATTTTGGAAACTAGCTTTTGAATTTTTTGAAGTGTGTGTTAGTGTTTCTAATTTCAGTGCAAGTTTCTCATGCCAGGAACTGTAACTTTTCTGGTAGTGTAGCCCTTGACATTATTCAACCATGCACATCTTTGGTTCTATAAATGTAAGCCTTTTGGTTCAGAGATATATCCTGCCAGAAGTTTAAAGTGCCTACCTATGCTGATGAATAAATCTGCAAGATTTTTGTTAAATTTGTGTGGCGACAGGTAGAGGAGCATTTAGTATGCCAATCATACTATGTATCTAAATGCTGCTGTACAGCTCTGTTGCTACAGTGCCTGAAAATACAGGGAAAGGTAGAAATGTTTTCTGCTAGTGGGTTTAAAAGGATGTGATTGTCTGCTTTATACAATTGTAGTATTTTTCTTAACCTTTTGTTAAAGTAGGAATGAGGCTGGAATTTTCATAATGTTATATATAGCTTGTGGTTAAGGACAATTAAACAGCCATATTAGATTTAAGAAACTATCTGTTTTCATGATTACTACTTTTCATTGGTCGTCTTGGGTGTTATGTGTGGAAAAAAAAACAACAAACAAAACACCAGATCATGCCAACTGGTAGATTAAGCAAATAAAGCATATAAAATAATGACTCTGTGCTAGACAACTAAACAGGAGTGCTAGAGCTGAGTTTGAAAGACCTCAGTGTTGTCCATTCCTGTAGATTTATTTTTCTCCCTACCTCCTCATACCAACGTCAACGCTCTAAAGCAGCATTCATCTCATGCTGTGCAATGAATTTTGTATTTGTATGTATTATATGTAAAATGTGCGAGATAGGTAATTTTGGAGAGTATAAACACACAGGTGGCTTTGATAGCTTGACACGAATTATGCTTCTGTAGAAGTGGGGGTGTATATTACTAAATTCTAGCAAAAAAAAAATAGTAATAAATCTTTGCTCAGGTGGGCCAACACTGAGTGCTTAGAGAACTGCTTTACCCTTGTCTTTCAGATTCTTATTTAAGCATCCTTCTCTACAGAACAGTGTCATTTGGGCACTTCAAACCTCAGTTTTCTTTGTTCTCTCCCTTCTTTAATCTTATTTTAATAATGCACAGCCCAGAATAATGAGCTACCCATTACGAAGTTACCATCTTGAGTTGTAAGCACTGTTGAAAGGCTTCGAGTTGGTGCTTTTTAGTCAAACTTCAAAATGTTCCCCCACCTTCTTTAAGTTTTTAAAAAAAATAAATTCTTAAATTAGTAGTTATGGCCTGATGCACCATCATAGTGGAAGTTATACTTAATATGAGTGGTGTTAATGCATCTGTCTGTCCCCCCACCCCTTATTTCTCCCATTTAAAGCTGCCCCACTGTTGCTGTATGCGAACCGACGTGATCTGCGACTGGTGGATGCTGCAAACGGGAAGGAGAACGCCACGGTCATTGTGGGTGGCTTAGAGGACGCAGCAGCAGTGGACTTCGTGTTTGTAAAGGGGTTGATATACTGGAGTGATGTAAGTGAAGAAGCCATTAAACGAACAGAATTCAATAAATCTGGGAGTGTACAAAATGTGGTCATTTCTGGACTTCTGTCACCTGATGGGCTGGCATGTGACTGGCTGGGAGAGAAATTATACTGGACAGATTCTGAAACAAATCGGATTGAAGTTTCTAATTTAGATGGATCACTGAGAAAAGTTTTGTTTTGGCAAGAATTGGATCAACCCAGAGCAATTGCCTTAGATCCTGCAAGAGGGTAAGTCTTTGTAAAAACAAAATATTTACACATATTTAAACCTTTTTCTACTTCTTGTTTGTTGAATGATTTTAAATAAGCAATAGTACTGTTACCAAAATTATCCTAAACTATGTTGCATTATTTGCTTCTCTTTTAGTAGTGTGATTTGAAAACAATTTGCACTTCTGAAATTGCATTCATATTGGTTTGTGAAAAGCTAGGAACCATCATATGTTTAAAAAAAGTACTAGAAACTTATTTTGGCAGTAGTGCAAAAGATGAACAGAAATGGAGAAATCTGATATAATCTGCTTGAAAGGCCATCGGCTGCCTGTGGACAGGCTTGTGCGTCTCTGCAGTGTCAAGTAATGGAATTTTTTGGAGCTTTGTTCGCTGTTGGTATTTATGCTTTATTGAAACAGCAGAAGAAATGAGACAAATCAATACACTGTATTAATAGCAATTTGAGACGTGTTTTAGCACTTAACCAGAAAATTTACAGAAGTGTTCCTCTCTCCACCCTTCAGGGAACTTTTGTTTTAAAAAGTCCTGTGTTTTGGCTTAGCCCATTCTAGAACAGGTCTAGCTCTTCTCAGCTCTCATTTCAGTCCCTGGCTGTGACTTACAGTATAATCTTTTTGTTCTGTTCTTGGGACAAAGCTGTTGTTGCCAGAAATGCTAAATTCAGTGGTGGTTTTGGTGATGTTACGTAACTGGCTGCCTTGAGGTTACCCCATAGGCAGTCATCTGTCATAAAGTAACTGGTATCCCCAAGTGAAAGACTAAATGATACTGTGTAATCTTTTGATAGATTTTTCAATCTGTAGTCCAGATCTTATTTCTACTATCTTTTTTTTTTTTCCTGAACAAGCAAGAAAATAAATCTATTGTACTGCCATTTTGCATATTTTTTTCAGTCAACTTTTTGAAGGGGGAAGAAATCAATGCATTGTTTCTTTGGAAAGATGAGAGTTGTTTTAGCTGCTTGCAGCTTCTTCACATTATAATTTTTTGAACTTGCATGTTTGGGTCTTTTTCTCCAAAAGAAGAAAGTCTATCTTTGTAAAACATGGCTTCTTTCCTGAACTTCATAGAAATATCATATCTTGAATATTTTCTTCCACAGTTTCAATAGGCCTTTGACAATATATAAACAGGAAAGATGTTTCTTTTGCATTACTTTTATTTCCAGTTTTGGAAATAAAAAAAAGGATGAATTTATGCTTTTCCTATCTCTTTACAACTTATAAATTGGAGTCAATGATAGCATTAGTTTTATTAGATTCTAAAATCATTTAAGAATTCAAGGAAAGATATAATGCTCATGACCCTTCCACCCACCATCTCAAAACTAAGAGAGAAAAGGCAGGAAAAACACAATTGAAATGGGTTTGATTTGGCTTGTAACCAGAGAGTCTGAGATTCTTGTTAGGAAAACACACTGTTGTCCAGCCAACTGGCCTTTTTTAGAAGAGTATTTGTATTTTCCAAATATGTACAGTAATATGCTTAGTGATCAAAACTAGATGATTGCGTACTCTTGCACTCTTTCATAATACTTTACATGAAGAGGAAACTACAAAAAGAAAAATGAAATAGATCAAAGGTAAAGTGAACTCATAACTTTTTCCATACTGATGATCTGTTAAAGCAGTAGGACTAAACACTTCAATATGCCTAGTTTTTAAACAAAACAACTCAAACAACCCAAACACCAACCCTCCCTTCCCCAAAACAAACAAAAAAACCCCAACCAAAACAAAAAAACCTTCCAACAACTGTAATTGAAGGACAAAATATTGTTTTCTTCTAAATCTTTA